AACCCACGACGTTACTAGCGACAACAGCCTGTAGCATATTTCGGTTCTATGTAGTTAATGGTAACGTGTGTTTGTGATTAAATCGAGTGAGATCAAATTTGGAATACAAAACTAGTAGCGCCAAAGATCATTTTGTTTTCAGTTGGAAACTTGATTAATCAAGTGAGAAAGGCCCGGAAGTTCAAATGTGAAACCAACCATATTCTGGAACATTCGACCCAAAGGCAGTACCTTCCCGTGACCGATCACAGAATTGTTGGCAAATACCCGCGTGAATGGTTCTTTTTGTCCATTGCAAAGCTTTGTGGTACACTATGAAGGGTGCACAGTAAAGTTATTCATGTACATAGAACATATGGTAACAATTCGAAGGAAATAAGTTATCTCAATCCTTTTTTTCAGACTAGAGCGTTGCAGCAACAATAACACAATGTTGCTAAATCTTCTTAAAAAAATGAACAGAATATTTCACAATTGAGAGTTGCATGTATGCTAGAATGCCCTCGTCTCTGGCTGATACAGCGATGGCCATCTGGTCAAGAGTCACTTCGGAAGGGCGCTAAAAAAGTAACTGTATTAACATAAACCTTTCTTTAATAAAACTTTGTACATGTAAGAGTTTATTTAAATGCAACATCAATAAAAGTGGCTTCATATACTTTCTAACGGCTGTTACTCGCTTCACTTGATGTTTGCCCATGTTTTTGCACACATCTAACCCTATTCATAAAATGGCAGGACGGATGTTTTTCTTAAGTTTGCCCCTCTGTGAGCTTTCATAGTACACCTTGCTTTTTGCCGCCATAAAAATAAATCGAGTGGAGCTACGTTTCGTGAGCTATTCAGCCATTCAACGTCACCCCGCCGGAGAATTACTCGCTTACTAAAGTGGTTCCTTAATAAGGCAGTTACCTTATTAGTTAAGTTCGGGGCAAGGGGGGAACCATCGTATTAAAAACACATGTTTTTCAACACTCTGGAGTACAAAATAGCCTGACACTATCTCTCTTATAAACAGAGTTACAGTTTGCAGTTTTGCCAAAAGAAATGGGGCAACGATGCCTCCGGCTCACATGCCTCATCAGACAGTGGTTTTTGGGATGTAAATAATTTTCGTCTATAGCCTGGGAGTCCCTAATGTACGACAATTCACGGACAGTGCACAAGAGAGTGAAACGATCCATGCTGCCATTTCAAAGGTAGAGCAGGATGTGGCCAAAAATTGGATGATGCTTTAGGAAAAGCTGAATAGGCCCACCTTTACCTATGCCGTATTTAACTAAAATTTTAAATATATAAAGTTCGCTAAAAGTAAGGATGTATGTAAATACATTTGCTTTTTCTTTTCGTACACGTTACTTTGAAGCTATTCCAGAAGTTGACCAAATTACCGTCGTGGTATCTACACTAGAGCTGCATAGACGATAGGACACGGCCACTATAGCGAACCGAAAATAGGATAATCATCCTACTAGTTCCTTTTTAGTTTCTATTCAAAAACTCTCCTCTTCAAGATTACAGAGTAAATGAAAACGATAAGACAAACCACGTCTTTATTCTAAAGCAGTAGAAGCAGTGTTACGCAAATGACGAAGGGCTGGACCATTCTAAATGCTAATGCGCCCTGGAATACTACCATAGAGAGGTGAATCGCATTGTGTCGTAAAATTAACCTATAAGGTTGACATTTTTAGACACTGCCAGGTTGTCCGAACTAGGATGACTTAAGCTATTATAGCTAAACCTTACTACGACCAACTCGATCTATAAATGAATCAATAAGAACAATTTGTTTCTGCATAGGTGGAAATTAGAGTTATTGTCTTTTTTACGTAAGTCAATGCCACTATAGCTGCAATAGTGTTATTGTACGCTTGAATTAAAACTTGAATCAAACAAAAAGCGTGTCTTTACGTTTTGACACAGATTGATAAGGACTTTGGTTCATAGATTTAGGTCCTAATGGGACTGTGAAAAATGACAAGGTCACAGTAGTTTACTATTGCGCACCTAACCTATGTTTGCTTGTGCCATGTGTCCATACAATGTCCTACCCTTCGTGCTAATACGAAATTGTTCAGTTTGGTGGATAGTGTACACTAGCTTAGAACAAATAGTAATCTGTTCTCCTAAAGCTGCCATTTTTTGAGATAATTAAAATTCTTGCCTACAGTCTATCCGACCGCTATTATATTTTTAAATATTTCCAAAGCAAAATCTTAACTATAAGTGCGCCCAGTTGCTCCCTGTATGCCCTACAATATCAGTTTTATTTATCTCAAATCATCCCTATCACGGACACAATGTTTCGGTTTTATATCGTTTGTTATAAGGGGCATTCTCGGGCAATTCAAAAGAAGTGCCCAGAATATTAAAAATTTCCGAATTGTTCGAGATACTCACGGACCGAAATCTAAATTAAGTATTGTCGTTGCCGACAACACCACAACCACGTAACCACAACTTCGTCAAAAAGAATAAAAAATGTCGTTTGTAAATGTTGTCCTAGACACAGAGTCGAAAACGGTTATTCAAGTTATGATTTGAATCATCAGTAACTTAGAGGAAGTACCTTGCTGAGCGGTATTCCACATGCTCGAGGCAGCCGGTGGCAAGTTTCGCCGCAGCTCACTTTGGAAGCTCGCGCTTCCCGAACCACCTATCAGTAGATTTCTAAATAAAGTATTATACATTAATTTAAACCGAATCATTCTCAAGTGTTTCCTTTCGGGAGTCGCAAAACCTGGTATTGATTTAGGCGTAACTCTAAATACCTTCTAGAGTCTAGCTCAAGTGTGTAATGGAAGTATCATACAGAAGGTACCTACAAGCGTGTATGATATGCCTGACTGAACGGCTTCAGTTCCCAAGCTGAAAAAAAGTCGACATGATTGTAACTGTTCAATATTTTGTGAGAAGCATTGATGAGATCGACTTTCTTACATCGTAACGTATAAATAATGGATGTGTTCCTGAGGGGCAGCCTGTGCCTAGACACGAATTGAGATATTCTCAAGTTGGCGTGCTACCGTATCCCTGCCAGTCCTACATCAGTTTATATACCCTTTTCGCCTACAAAATACAGATTGAAGCCCAGTAGAATTTCAAGCAGAAACTGTTAATGATTGAATCACAGAAGGTTTTTATTTACGCCCATTTTAACGCGACACAACTTCTCGTTTGAACGCCCCCCAACGTATCGTATTGCATTAAGTCACACATGTGTAAGCATTGTGTAATGATGATTAAGTGTTTACATCTGGACGTTACTCATACCAAACATAAGCTATTAAAGACAAGTCATGCTCGTACGCTTCCGAAGCTTAGAAACGTATTGTCTACATATGTTTAACAGAAGATCTACTAAATCTATACGCATATCAATAACTGTTAGCAGCAAGCGACCATACGTGTTTCTCCACTATTACCCGCCATATCGTTGGCTTCTCAAGAGTTAACGAATCAGCTGATCGCATCACGGCCAAACAGATCGGTAAACATTTGAGGTCACTGGCCGCAAGGAGAGTAAGAGGTCCCACAGTGGATGGTCTCCCAAGCTGACCGGCCCTGATGCAGCATAGGAGGTCTAGGATGTATGTTGTAACCCTCATCAAAACAGGGGTCGTGAACCCCATCGGAGTTCATCGACCTACCAGCCAACCCATTGCGCCCACTAGCAGGCTAGATCACACGCTCACGATCATGACGGCGGTTCTCTATCGGAGGATGAACCCTCTCGCTGTGATCAGAGTGGCAAATTCAATGGTAGGGTAGCCCCCTAGCAAGGATTGCAGACAATGCTTATGTAACACACACTGTACCTAACGCACTATGTGAACTCGCCGGGAAAGAATGGTTTACGGATCGACTGGTGCACCACAGATGTGATTCTTCTGACGTCTCAAACGATCAGGCTAGACCACCATTTTTGTATTAGACTCATAAGGGTTAGGTTAAAATTGCCTGTAAGAATGTACGATCTACAACTTCATTGGCACTAATGAAGGCTAAAGCGATTCAAAGCGATGCATGTAGAATGATACATATAATAGATACTGACTTAACCCCTACAGGCATAAAAGTATTATTCATTTTTGCGAAAAAGCTGCCATGTGTTAAAAGCACATCGTAAAATTGAATTCTGACGGGAGCTTCAAAGCCCCCCTGGAACAGCTCTATTAAAAGGGAGCGGGCTACACAGATCAGGAGACTGGTGCACAACATGCAACAGATAGTCTGCATATACTAGACCGGCAAGTTGCGCAGTAAAACAGAGGCACTCTCGAGATACATTATACGACAAAGTGTACATCTCGCAGACTGTGAAAGAAGAGTTGGTGAGGTTTACAGCAAAGTAGAGGTTTTTTTTGCGGGGCGAAGAGCAGTCGATCCAGGCACACCCCTTAAAAGAAAGAGGCTGGAGTATCGAGGTCGGGCGTCAAGCAGACCGGTGGAGGAGAGCGGCCCGAAGCATCCGAGACTAGGCGTTCAGAAACGACAGACATGTCTGTGTCAATCCCAGTCGAGCATGAAATTTCAACCTAGTCAGAAATTGTGTTGTGAGCTGTGCGCAAAAAGTCTAACGCCGAATACTGATCTGCAGGATACATCGTCGAGGTTCATTAACCGAACAATCAATAGACTTATTGAAAGAGTGAAAGCGTACGTGTCAAATCGACATGATGCAAGAGTCCTTAACGTTCAAAGTACCATTTTCTACGCGTAGCTAAACATACCTAGCGATATTTCGTAAATGTAGGACTAACTGAATAAATGTATGTTATAGGAATTACATTTTATCGGACGTTATTTGCGTGATTACAGGAGTCTGTAGTTACCGAACTGAGGTGTACTGTTCGATTTCATAGACACACCCAATGGCAGCTTTTGCTTGGCCCAATGGGGAACAGTTTTACGAAGTATTAAAATTTCGTGTGTAGCCCGATGTAGAGGTAAACAGACAGAACGGATGAAAAATACCCGTAACTGACTTCGAACCATTTGCGCGCCAAACAAACCACATCGTTTATTCAACCTATACGGTGTTAGTTGTTAGTTTCAGTCGCCTTGGTTTCTATCATCTTTGTCAGCGTGGTGTTGTTTGTCGAGATTCCGAACTCCGTTCACTGCAGACGTTGGTTTATCGCGTCGAGTTGATGAAGATCGCCTTGACCTCGATGTAAGATGACACGGAAAAGCGCGTCATAAACGACCGCTCTTAACTATTAAAATACACAACCGCAATGCAACATAACTGCTTTCAGGGTCGCCGCATGTCTTTCAAATATCTATCTATCTGCAATATCAACAAAGCGAGTAAAACATCCTTCGTTTATTATTTACTTGAGAGTTAACTAATATAATAATCTAGTTAACAGAGCTAGAGGAGCACTCAAACGGAGGAAAACAGACAAAAGTTCCATGACGCGTCCAGAAGGCTGACCTTGGAGATATGGCGGTTGGCCTATTGGTGAACGTTTGTTGACAACGTTGGTGAAATTCGCAGCGATCTAACCAGCGAACGTCGTGCGAAGGCAGTTAGTTAGCTAACTAATTCCTTGCGTCTATTGTTCGGTAGAGGTAAAAGTGGTGGGACGCGATTGGCCGCCGTTTCAGCGGCAAGGCCTCTAGAGAGGAGCGCATTTCGACCGGGACCACTAACTGAGTGGCGGAAGTAGAAGGTATTATACGCAGGCGCACATATACACGCCACTACTGCTGCGCTGATGAGGCGGTGAAAGCCATTCGACTTGGGGAATTTAGTAACGAACCGTGTTCGCAGATTCACAACGGACTGAACGGCCTGCCGCAGAACCAAGTGCGGCGGCGATTGCCTGCTGCTACTGCTGCTATTTTTTACCGCCGAGTTGAAGGGTTGAAGGCCAGTTAAGGCCAGGGTTGCGCAGCTTGTATGTTGCCGTCAGGATCTATCGTTTATTTCTTGCTCGAAGGGCCTCCGCCTGCTGGTACTGTGCCGATCCTATCATCCGATTGGTGCCATAGAATCAAATCGCTGGTTATCTAGGCAGGACGGACAATACCTGGATCCATTATTCAAGACTTTACGCTATTCGTTTGCTGAAATTCTAGTTTTTCCGCTTCACGTGTTTTGCGTCGCTCATTCCGCTATCAGCACTTCGTGCAATGTAATAGTAACCTCTCTGAAATTGTTTAAAGAAAACCGCTCGTTATAAATCGCGTTGTATCTGAGCAAATCGTTACAAACGCGTATCAAGTGAAAATTCATACTTGCTACATATCTTGCAATATATTTAGATGGCGGAGCGTGCGTAGTGTTAGAATAGAATGAGACTAATGTTTGTATTAAATAATATTTTTGATAAATGAATCTTGAGATTTTCTTAGAGAGCGTTGATTTACCACGGCAACCTTGTCGACACCGAAAGAATTACCCATGTATGAATATATATAGGCAGTTAACAATACGTCCCGGTTCGATGTGATACGTCCTTGTTGGAAGCAAGAGATACTGGTCTGATAAGGCCTCAGATCTACCACTTCTACAGAATTAGACATCTTAGATGGTGAGCGATGGGCTCTCTCAGAGCGTCTCAAATTTGTTAAATCAAAATTCCGACGGTTTGCTTAGAAATTGCTATTTTCTGAAGCTCAGTCTGGTTGCTGGCTGGCCATCTTCGAAAGCTGGAGAAATCGGTGAAGCATCATAGGCCAAACAATCTCCTCGAGCACCTGTGTCCGAAATAAACTTGGTAGGATAAACGGGAGTTCGTTTGATGTGTAATTTTAAGCGATTTTACGAGAATAAAAATAAGAAAATAAATCATGAGGAAAAACTTGACAATAGGCAACAATAAGATCTAGCTGCTTCAAACAATAAAATTATTTTTAACCCAGAAAAACCATTCAATAAGCATATTTACATAAAATCTGCGACTATTTAGATGATCACACCTGAAAAAAATACTTTTTTTCAAGAAGCAAATGTTAGCAAAATGTTATAGTGCGAAGACTAATACGTAATAAAATTTCATCTAGATGCTCTATTGGAATTTACTACAATGCGTGTTCTAGTTGGTAGCTATGCATGACCATACGACCCTCGAGCCTTGATATCGCGGTTTGTGATCGATTTATAGATAATACTTCGACAGGCGCACTTCAGAAGATTTAATGTGGACATCATCTTCCCAACTGATTTGAAGAAACGGTGATTGATCAAGTGCGCAAAGTCGAAAAATTATGGTTTATTCAAAGTATCACATTGGTGTGCGCTGGCCAGAAGCGTAACGTCTAGAGAAAGGCTGCTCATATCCACCGATGCAAGCACTTAAATTTTTGCACGCTTAAAGATTTTACCAGCTCATAACAAGCTCCTAGTCCATCCAAAGGTCAGACTGCGGCATTGAAGCAGCTAGATAATGTCATTATTCTACCAAAAATATGATGGCTGTTACTTTGGCAAACAGGCTGTGCATCGAGGATAAATAAACACTGTAGCTTAAAACAACTGAGGTACGTTTTTGGTCCAATGTGCAAGCGGTCCTACATACGCTCGAATTATCGAAAGAAACAAAGAATCTTCGTAAAAGATCGTCTGCAAGAGGGTCTTGTATTCTCCTAATGGGAGTTCGCTATTCTGTTCTAAAACCAAACTACCATCCCAGTGGTCAGGTACCGGAAACGTGAATCAAGTTAGCAGCGGGAAGCGCTTTGATCATGGATTCTTTGCGTGCGTAAAGTGGACAATTGGAACGTATTCACCAAGCAGCCCAGTGGCTTGTCAGAGGCTCTCGTTGGTAAAATAGTGTTCCTGAAGCAACCTCAGGCTTGCTGCTCAAGGCAAGCATACAGAACTGTCCTGAGTGATACGGTCGTCACGGCTATGGCAGATGACGCTGTCGAGCAATTCATCGACGAAGACGCTCTAGTCGGCACAGCCCGTTCACCTCACGGACGAACTCGTTCAAATCTACCACCCTAATATTACCAACGTATGACCTGCTTACGCGGTTTATGATCGTGTGTTCTCATCGGTAAGAAACCATAAGCCCAAACACGGAGCCAATGATGAACGATTGGAGGAGAAGGATTTAGGTCTGCTGGATGATGCTAACGGGTGAAGCCCAGCATTTGTCTTTGACGGCCAAGTTTCAGAGACGAAGGTCTGGATAGCCATCTTCGAGCTGTTCATCTTACAGCACATTTATCGACGATTCGACGCTATATCGTAATAATCTTTTCTAGGACGCAGTGTTTCAGATGTCGTTTTACGTTTCGACCAATTGGATGGAACTATATTAATAACATAATCAACAAAATATAATATATTGTAACTACAGGTATTCTTTTTGACTACAATTAGACTTGCCCGCCTCTTCTGCGAAAAAAAACTAAAGTTTACCTCGTAACTATTTTCTAGGTAGCTATAATCGTTAATCGATGATCGTTAATTGGACGTATAGATAACGTGCGCAATTCTATATGTCTTCCGCCAAGAATCTTTATATTATCGCAGTCTTCATAACGTCTCCCTGGAGAAAACTAGCTGGTTTGGATAAGAAGTTTTCAGTAGTTTAATGAAATTAATCAAGGCAGAGAGATCTTTAATTTAAAGCTTCATAATAGTAAAAATGTCCACAGATCGGCACTTTGAAGCAACGATGGCGCAGGATCAGCTTTGGATTAAGGAACATCGTGACCATCGAGTACTATTCAACCTGACGTTCTAGAGATTAGAACAAGGAAACGTAACTAAATAGGTATAGAAAACCCAGAGCCCAGAATGTCCGGGTGGTGGCAATTGTATCAATGAGCAGGTAAGTTATTGACCAAGTTTCTCGATGTGATTAATGCTAGAATAGAATATCTAACAGCCCAAAAGGAGTTTAGCATGATTTCTCTATTACAACGCAGAAGTAATCGTTTACCACGCAATTGGAAAACTCAGCTGACCAGCTTATAGACTAATTGAGCCGGACCCGTTTTTTATCAGCGTCTCCAGTGGGAAGCCTGGCTTTTTGTATTTTGGCACGTCTAGGAAGACGAGCGTCAGTTCGGAGCTGCATCCAAGCAGGGCTCCATCTTGGCTCACACAGAGCACCTATTCATAAAGTTTCGTGATTCAGTTTATACCACTCGTATTGTAAGGTTAACAGCTGATGTTAAATATAGCTGCTAAAAGTGTCTTTAATAACAGGCTGGAGAAAAGTGATAGTAACCTGGGTTTGATAATGAGAAAGAATGACTGAATTCCATTTGCTCTATTTTGGGTTACTAATTTTGGTTATTTGGTGATGGTTTTGGGCTATGGCATTTTTGAGATTTTGAACTGAACCAAATAGCAAGTTGTCATGTACTCACAGGAACGTCGCTTATTTGTTTCGTAACGTTTTGACGCTGTTAGAAATATTATTGTAAGTGTTTTGGTAGATTTTTTTGGAAAATTATTTTATCCTCTAATCTATTATATTATATTTTTTTAGCGATATTTTTTTGATAAATGAACATTAAATAACCTATTACTTAATTCTGATGCTGTACGGAACTACAGAAACAGATAACGGTAAAAAAAAACAAAAAATCGAACTCATTGATATTAGGTTGCATGACTAAGACTAGACCCGCTACCTACCAGGAAGAACTACATGTCATCAAATATTTAAATATCTCGTCTAATATACCCTACTCAGTATAAATGCTCGGCAGCATTCCATGGATAATCTGTTGTCCAAATGGCTATGATCAAATGTCCTCCAATTCTCGCGTGTACCTTCTTGCAAAATTCGCCAGTCGATGCATTGTTACTGCAATCACAAAACATATGTCCTATAAAGGGAATTCCTTCATATTGTACATAATGTGTATCGTACGAAAAAACAACACGTTACTAGTTTTTTTTTTTTTTTTTTTTCTATATAATTTCATTTCTTCAAGCGTGCTAAACGGTTTTCGAGCAATCTTGGATGTTTCAATGCCATACGTGGCACGTTTCTGCCGTATAAGTCACCGTGAACACGATGTGCAGGCATCTTTACTGGTGGAGAAGGTCCATAGGCCGCAGAAAAGATTTCCAAAATAGGCCTGACTCTTGTCCTGGTATGACCGAGCCTCACCATTACGACTGAGGGACGACCGTGCATGTAGCGACTACAGTATATCATGATCGTTGGACGATGCACACCCATATAACAAAGATATTGTAACTAAGTGTATAGTTACTACATAAAATTATTTAATACCGACCCTAAATGGCATTCTAACGCTGCATCCCATAATCAGAAACAGAGCGTGTGTGACCTGTGGGTCTAACGCGCATCTCCTTCGAATGTCGCTGGTCCGAGTTTCCGCGGTGGCGTCCACTTACCATGGCACAACTTCACTATACCGCATTGCGAGTCTACTAGAGAAATTCCCAAGCACAAAAGTCCGGCAAAACCTAAATCGTAGGACAGGTCCTTAATGCTAGCTATACTTAAAGGCGACTCCAATGACTAGCAAAATCGCGAAAGCGTTAAGAAGCCGCAATAGAAGCATCTAATACGCGTGACAAATATCACAGCTCTTAAGGTACTTGTCTGTGTAGAATAACTGCAACGTTTCCCTGCACCGTTTGGCTTCACAAACTAGCTAGCAAGCAAAGTTAATCATGCGTCCTTTCACAAACTTTAAAGTAATTGCATAATAAATGCGCGGCTCGCTTACTCAATATAATTATCTAAATCGACATTATCTTGAGTCTATAAATATCTAGCAGCAAAATGACGTCTGAAGAAAAATGATGATTCTTTCCAATTTCTTCTTGTAATCGTTCGGCGTTTAATAGTACGTTAGCGGATGAAGGAAGCGATTCATGGTGCCAATCAAACGATAATCGATGTTGCCTGTAACCACATTTAATCTTGATCGAAGCGTATCACGGGATGCGTTTTTGTCAAATTTGAAAAAGAAGTTGCATGCCCCCAAGTTTATCTAACGTAGCGACCACACCAGGACCGCTCGGCCCATGATTTTGGGCAGGTACTAAAAGCTCGATACGATGGATTTCAACACGCTTCTATACAGTAATAAACAGGGACTCACGTGCGGTAACAAAGAAAGAAGCTCCTTAAAGCTCCGAGTAAACTATATCTTGTGACGCATTGGGTCACATTTGATGAAATGCTTTCATTGTTAGGCGATCGAGTCCAGATAATGACAACTCACTTTGTTAAACTAAAAGTAAGTACAATATGGAAGAAGAAAATATTCTTTAGTGGACGTCAGCTTTTTGTTCGATGGCGACATGAAGACATTACCTCTATCCATCCAACCTTCATACTGCAATGAAGCTGAAGTCGTTCAGGACAAAAATTTTGAGCGAAGTCGTACAGCGTTTGAACTTGCTTTCTGATATCAAGGTCATAGCACTGACAAAGAGTATTAAAATAACCTCGGGTGAGAAATCATGCCGATGAAGAGGCTTAGTGTTATGGGTTGTGCTGAGCAGCTGCAAGTTGATACTTAAGAAACAGCGAAGAATACAAGTTCCTTGCTAATTCAAACTGAGAGTATACGTTATGACAATGGCAGTGCGGAAACACAGTCACGTACCTTCAGCCGGCTGCCGTCCGTGCTTAAAGGTCCGTTCTATCCTATATTCGAGCATTCCAAGCTTCTTTTTCCATCCTCCGATATTTGCGCAATTTTAGCCGAGCTAATCGTTGCAAAAAGTTCATTTTAGGGGAAGATTTAAACTTGCAAGCTGAATCATGGGAAACTGCCATCGCCAATCCTACGAGGAGTCCCTTGGAAGATGTGGTAGCGGCAAAATGACGCAAATTATAAATGATGGTTTTCACACGTTTACTTGTGGGGACCCTTCACCAAAGATAAATCTCACATTAACCTCAATGGAATTGGGCAGAAATATACAAAACTGGAGAGTTAAAGACGACATTAGAAGATTTATCGGATCACTTCTCTATGGCGTTTCATTTCAGATCAACCAGCCCCCGAGGTAAACAGGTAAAATATCTTCTCAAGATCGGTATTGATCCACATAGATTGTCGAAAATAGCCAGGTAGATTAGCCGTTCACAAAATGCTTTAGCAATTAATACATTATCGGAACTGCTGCATAACCTTACAATAATAACATGCACCAACTGTGCACCATTGTGACATTTAACATCAGAAATGTTTTTAACTCAGTCCTATGGGAGATCATCAACAAAACTCCAGAGAAGAAGTCATGGAAAATTATCTGAGAATAATAATTATCAGCTATCTAAGCAGGTGTGCTTTACATGATAACATTTTCAGCATGTTTAAGAGAAAACCCAAAAGTTTGGCCCTCTCCTCTGGAATATAAACTACGATAGGATCCTAAATCAAAATTACCTTGACCCGGCTAAGCTGATAGCTTTTGCGGATGACCGGTACGGACAAATGCTCAAGCGAACGTCGACGATACGTGTGACATCGTAAGTACATCGATAAAAGATTATGGACTAAGCGAGCTTTGGAGAAATCGTCTTGTGTCTGTGCAAACCAACCAGCTATTCTTAATGAACGGAAAAAAGCGGGTAATATGACATTGACGCAAAGCGGCCACACCGTTCTCCCTAGCAAAATTTAGATACTTTGTTACTCTTATTGACAATATCTCAAACAGATCAGGACATGTAAAATACGCTATGAACAAATAACAGACTTATCAGAATTCTTGCGAAAGCTGACGGCCCGTTGGACGGTCCACGCAGTATATTGGTGTCTGTAGCGAGCTCAATTGCGTTATATGGGACATCGGCCTGAAAAGACGCCCTCACAAGGAAAAAAATCTAGAGGTGCTGAAGAAGACCCAAACACAAATGGCGATAAAGGCGCCCAGAGCCTTTACGAACAAACTCATATGACGCGGTTATAGCTAGACAGGCGTGTTAGGACCTGCTCGTGAAGGAAAGATCTGAGAAGCTCTTAACTAGAAGCCTGAAAAAAAGAAACGTTCAGAAAGGCAGGACTGGAAACACGGTAGGCAAAATGACAATCAGAAAATACAACACAGGTATGTATCACAGGAAGGTTTAGTAAAAACATAGGTAAGTAGTATATAAGAAAGCTGGGCATTTAAGATTTGGTCCGACTTAGATCTCAGCGGCCGTAGAATCAATGGTGGCCAGCAACTCTGAATAAGTAAGTCTGCGAGTGACACTGGTAGTTTTTGTGATTCGGAGGTTGTAAACATAGTGAAACGCACTTTTTGGGAGTCTGCTGCTTCCGAAGGGGAAAGTGGGAAGTCGGGGGTGGATTAGAAGTTCTATAAAGAAATGGTGCATGACGCGTAAATTAGTTCATATAGTTCTTAACGAAAAGGGCATTCAAAAGTTTTACAATACCTGAGACGATGGAAGGTTGAGTTTCTGGCTCCTCCCCAGTTCCTTTCCCTTTTTTCTTCGTTTGCCCCCTCCCTCTTCCTCTCCCCTTCTCCCCTCTCACTCACTGGGCTAATGCTCGACAAGTCGTGGTTTTTCCGGCTTATGGGGTCCTCATCCACTATCTAAGCGGTGGATGCACCTTTCTTCCTGTTTTTAAGCTAGTCTCTGACGGGAGCGGTCTCAGTGATGGCTCAGGTGAATCCCACACTATTGTGTGCATAAAACATTTCCGCCACTAGCGACTTCCAGAAGAAAAAAAAAAGGAAAAATCATTGCAAATGTTGTAGTTTTGCAGTTTGACCTACCAGCCACCGATACATGCAGCGTTGCACTTGGCTATATATTTAATAGGGGTTTGTCACGGTAAATAATTTATATAGGAGTAACTTTTGGCGGTAGTGTAGTGACATTGTTTCTAAATGCATACATATTTATACGCGTGTGTCACTGTGGTCATGATGCCGATGGCGTCTTCTATTTTCGCAGCACCGCCGCTGCCTGTTCTGACAATTAGTTGATGATCGTTAACTTAACGACATTCGCTCTCGGATCGGACCGCATTGCTAATGGCACAGTCATTCTCGCTAAATCGCTACATGTATACACACACACACATATATATATATATATATATATATATATATATATATATATATATCTGGACATGGCATAGCTGGAATGAGAAGAGATAGCAAAAAAAAGGGAAAGCCAAGTACCGCAATAAACGCAAAGATGAATAGGATGATCGCGAGATGGATAAGATGTTGACGCCACTGTTGTTGCTACTATTATACCTATATCGCGACGATCGTCGATGTCGCTGCTACTGCTGTTGTTGTTGCCGTTGTTGGTGATGTTGTTTCTATCCGCCGTTGGTCGTGCTATTGTAACCGTTCAATTTGGTACGTGCCAACCACTCCTGATCCCAACGTTGGCGCGATGTTCAAGAATCGGCTAACCGACTGACTGACCGGCCAGGATCAGCGGCGTAGCTCTATGTAGTGAGCACCGGCCGACCGTCGGCCGGCGATGTTCACCTTTTAATCGCCGTGGTCGTGGTCGGGAAAGCCCTACCGCCGTCACAAACGACGACACATAATTTGGCTCACCCACAAACACATACACATGCACGCACGCACACAGTGGCCACACTCGGGCGCAAACTTGCATACACGTAGGCATGCGCGCAAACACAGAATGCCGTTTGTAGTGAGCCATGGTACGTATATGCATATATGACGCCAACGATAGCGCATCCACGGCTGGTCGCTTGTTAACGGGCAGTGAGCTTAGGTGCTGGTCATTGGCGGTTCACTGAAGAAACCATTCAATAGCTCAGCGACGCAGATCTGGTGTCACAAGCATCGATTGTCACCACGGCATCGGTAGCCGCTATAGGATAACTACAAGAGCAAAACGCGAAGACCACAGGGTCGTTACTTCTACTTTTGCTCCCACCGCTGACGATGATGGTGAAAGAAACTGCAACAGCTGTTGCTGTTAAGACAACTGCCAATGCTGATGTTACCGTTGGCAGTGATGCTGTCTACCGTACACTGATTTACTGACTGAATGCTGATGGACGACGTAGCGCCGAGCGACAAAACGAGCCTCAGTACTCGGATCAGGCGCCGGCTACACCCGCCGCCAGGCCGCCGACCCCGAATGCTGCTGCTATTGCCGCAGCCGGCCGCCGTTGCAATGAAGGCAGTGGCCCACCGGAGCCAACGCGCTGTGCAGGCAGCGGCAATGACAAACTAACGTACTGCTTCAACGGTACCAAACCACGACTGCTATTGCTTGTGCCGTGGCTGTTCATGGTGGATCTACCAAAAGGTGATGCCGCTACTGACCGACTGACTAGCGGTTGATGCTTTAAACAGCGGTAGAATTGTAGAACGTTGGACCCGGGTTAATTGGTCGTTTCCCACGGACAGCGGTAACGTTGACACACATACACGCAGACGCACAAACACACACACGAATCGCAACACTGTAGATGCTGCCGCGACAGTTAGTAGGGTAGTAGATCGACGACCAGGGTAATTATCGCAGTATCGTCATATGCAGGTACCATGGTACTCCGGCAGTTGTGTCGAGCGACCCCAGCACGGCAGACCGCAAACCCTCGTCTTCTATTGCAGCGATTGAGAATTGGTCACACAGCAGGGAGGACAAAGGGGCGAGGTCAATCGCCACTTCACTGCACTGCAACCCGGGGTCGCCAGGTTTGCTGGCCACTGCTGGTGAATGCTGAGTGCTGCGGCTATTGCTATCAGCGGAAGGGAGCCGCTTTTCACCTAAATGTACACGATAGATACAACGTAAGCGAAAACGACATGTTGTCCGTCCTATTATTGTTCCTGCAGTATCTATACGACATAGGTCCCAGCGTTCATCAGTGGGGTCAAGTCTAACAACAACAACTAATTTCACGTACGGCCTTTTTATTTCAGTCCTTCTACGTACCTCTCGCCATGATAGGTACACACGCACAGGTTATTAACACTGTTCATGTAACAGATATCCGCCGTCGCTGATGTCACCAATATCGCAGTGTCCACTGAAGGCTGGACAGACAGTCAATGGGCAAACCGCGACCAGCTTGTACCTCTCTCCCTAACCGAGTCTCAATTGATATACTGAAGTCCTATCGCCTGCCTGGCGACATCATTCGCGCCACGACAGGCGGGCAGCGAAGACGTGCGTCCCAGAACAACTCAACAGGAATACTGACATAGTATTATATACTAGACATCGAAACGGCGGCAATAAATATGTGCCAAATATATGCTATATATGACAAAAACTGCCAAAGTTAACAAAAAAAACGAGGTAGTCAATCACGGCCACAGAGTGTTTACTGCAACCAACGATAATAATGGAAATGACGATATTGGTCATGCTGACAAACCAGCGCCGCCCCCATAGGCAAAGGGTAGTTCCGTCTACATGTAGAAAGACCTGTGACATTTCCGATGGTTCAGAACGAAGAGATGGCTTGACATCATTATAAACAACTGGCACGCTTCTCTTTCTACGTTAAAGCCCACAACGGGCCCGTCAGTGTGAATCATGCCACAAAAATCTTACACACAATAGACAGACGGACACAGACTGTCTCACAATAGACTAAAACCATGCTAATGGGCAACAGCTAATAATATCATAAATACTTCCAATTCATAATTTGATATCATCTTTGGGATGGCTTTTAGGCCGGAAGACATAGCATGACAAGATATTGGACGTGTATGATCATGTCAGGTAGTTGATTTCTAATAGGCGCGTTTATTGAAAAGATAGGCTTGATTCCGTTTTTAGAGTAGACGTCATATCAAAACGTCTGAGATGTTAAACGAGGCCACTCTATACGGAGCACGATAAAAGTAGCTGGCCGACACACGGTTCGTGCCTTAGGTTTGGTTCTATAAAATATCGCTTTCTATACGACCGTTTTGTTTATCGGTCTAGCTCATATGGACGAGCAAATCTACCACAACCTCCAGAACAGCTCTGCAGTGCTCATCATAGTAAATTTGAAGTGTGTGCAACTGAAATTACTATAAGGGATGATTTACGCTTATACAACCCAAAGCCTAACGTTTTCTTTTATGTTGGATATGGCTATTTATTTTAGACTTCTGTTTATTAACCGTACAAATATGCACGGAAAACTTACGCCTATGCATATTTTCATTCTCCTGGCTCATTTTTCTAAATGAAAATTATCTGAAACATTTCGTTATCAAGACGATTATAATGACAACGTCACGGCCCTTCCGCGTGACCAGTCACAGTAACAAGTTAAAAGCATAAGGTTCTCACATGTCGTCGCAGTTACCAACTAAAAATGTCTAGATTAAACGTTGTAAACATAAAATTGCTTATTCAGGAACTATACGACTCAGTCAGTTGAAATTAGGAAATGCAGATTAGAGAAAATTCTCGTTTGAAGATCCGTATTCGCGAAGTCCGCGACAAATCGGGCGAATAGTGTATTTCAAGCAACCAACAGATGCCCTTCGTAGACTGCATTTGACAACAAAATTGCCAGGTCCGGCGTACCAACTTACCCTTCTAAGGAAGTCAGGTTTTACATAGAATTAGGATGAGTCCTGCATGCTTCATTATTAGCTAATATTGTGAATAATTTTTCCTCAATTTGTCCTGCCAGCGCTTAATTTAATCAAGCTGCTTGATTGCGTATTGACGGAAACATTTCCATCTAAGCACCATCGCACGCGTGACGACAGATGAATGTATGAAAATAACCAAATTGCACTTTAAATAAATTTAAAAAAATATCATTAACAATAACATATTTGCAAAGTCGACGTTTTTCGTATCGACGTAAAATTGTACTGGCTATAGCTCTAGACGCAATTCAGCCGGACTTTACACGGAACTTCTTCAATAAAGGCTAGAAGGTAGTCTTAGGCTAACAGCTCCTGCCGCGGCTTCTTCCTATCGAAGCGTAAGGTTACCGTCGCATAACCAAAGAACGTAGTAGCCACCCGTAAAAAGTTCATCTCAGCACCTTGCGTTAACGCTGCATCGTCTTACGTATAAACTGCGTTTAGACACTGTGGCAATAGCGTGCTCACACTGTATACATGTGATTACTCTGATTTCAACACGTGAATATATTGAAAATTATCAGCTGCGACTGTTCTGCGAAAATATGATTTGAATTACTTCTCTGACGAGGCAACCATCGATGGAAAATGGAAATCTCAGAGCGTGCCACACCCCATTCAATTTGTTAGCTTTTGGGTCCCGGTAACAGTTTTCCACTCTCGAAGCGCAATCTACTGCATCAAGAATACGCTCCCTTTGTATACAGTCCTTGCTAAATAAAAGTTTTACTATATTAATAGATTGCTAAGACGTATGTATATATTGGGCGGCATATATTAGCTGGCAAATGTCAATAGGGAGAACAAGAAGGAACACTAACACTGTTAAGCAAACCAGTTCGTTTTTTGTCCGTGTTTCTATATATAAAAACGCATTACTATATTAAAAAAAGAAAAAAAAAGAACAGCCTGTTTCAGGGCTAAACGGTGTCCTTGCTGAAGAAGGACTTTTCATGAATACTACAGCGTATAATTAAATGCAATCTGTAGCCTTACTGTGACTATGGTCGTAGCTTTGTACACATCGTTCACGGTTTTTCATCCGGTAGAAAACATTGCCCCGCTCATACTGACTGTCCCGTTGGATTGACCACTCACTGGGCCCCGATGATCGCTGGCTGACACAAGACTAAGTCGGCAGCAGACTACGGAGTCAGGCAGGATTCTTGGGCATATGTACGCACCGTTACAGCAGACGCGGGAGTCCCTGTCTGACGGTCTGCGTATGGCTTGGACGCCGGTTCAATCGACGGTCGTGTGGTGACGGATCGCGGAACAGTCGTGCCAACGCAGTCCAGACCACGCTACTGGGAGACACAGAGATATGAGGTAACATTACGCGATGACAAGACGACAAGAAAAGGTCATCAAAGGCTGCGTGTCCGTGCACTGCCGTACATGTCTACGTGTGTGCTTGGATTTGTGTGTGTGCGCGCATCTGTGCGTGTCTGAAGAAAATGTTCAAGGATGCGAAAATGACGGCAAGCGTCGATTAGAGCTTATCTTCTGAATAGGAACGTAACACAACAAAATGAAGGGCACTCAACAAACTGTACAAGATATAGTCTGCTCTTACAACTAAACCCCAGACTAGAAAAAGAGCTTAAGAGTAACAGTCTTCTGAGTAGTTAAGTCTTTTCACCGAAAAAAATTACTTTTTTACGTTGACGTACACACATGTGAATTCCAAATCAAAACATTCGGCGTACGTTCATTGCACTGCGCAAGCTATAGACAGTCGTTTGGACTCAATGGATGTAAAATTGGCTAGCGTTAAACCTTTTGGAAAGACACCTAGAATAAGCCCTATGATTAAAAGTGACATAATTTAACGTTTAACGGAATAGTCAGGGTGTTTTCCATGTTTTTTCACTGAATATGTTGTCAAGATTATTTCGATGGCTCCCATTACTGCAAAGAGCTACCTAAAAAGACTATAATAGAGAAGTCGGTTAAAAAGGCTCTCAACTAATGTTTCCTGTAATTGAAGAGGCGCGATGCTGATTGACTATTTATCAGAGTTAGATAGAGGGTAGACCATTTTCGTGGTGAGGCCTGATCTCCATGTAGAAAGATCACACGTAATCAAGATAAACAAAAACTTGTCCTGTACAGTGGAAAACCAATGAGCACTTTCAAGTTTATGACAACCAGCTTCACAGCATTGATACTTGGTAAACATTGACCTTCACGGCGATACCCAATGAACTTATGCCAAGGAGAACTTTCTTGTAGACGTGACTAAACGCTGATACTCACCTCGTGTGTGTCGTAAGCGCTTATTTTAGATAACAGCATGTAACTAGGTGTCCTCGGGATACGAACATACTGAATGACCAGTTACACACGTGAGTTGAACTTGCCAAGGCCCCAGCTGCTAGCACAATTATCTTACTTCTGCCTTAGCCAAAAACTCAATCAACCTTCTGGTAAACCATGTATAATATCAACAATTAAACGTATTAATCATCTTTTTTTGGATCACTAGCGCTGAAGAATTCCTTCTTCCCTTTTGCGAACTATTATTGTATGATGCATTCATACCCACACGATCAATGGTTACCAACCCAATCAAAGTTGATTTAAATCCGTCAGCGCATGCGCATACTTTGCATCTGTTACCCCGTAATGGGCCTTTTTAACTAGTTAATTACGGAAAAAAACCCTGTAGACATAACAAAATGCTATGTCTATTCATTCGTTCATTTGAGCAGGATGTCGCCCGGATGGCATAAGATCTCTGGGTATTTACAGAAATGAAAATCTCTCAACAAATGAATAGTTTTGTGTAGCTATCGCTGATTAGTGGCGTTTGGCCTGCAGCTGATCGCGTTTCCGAATTACGAAATATAAATTAGCTCCGGTCGTTACATTAGGACCATCTTAGGCACATCTTTTGTGAGTACATCGTTACGAAGTCAAACTTTGCTGTTTTCACTACAGATCTCTATAATAAAATAAATTCGTTCATAGACATTAACACCAGCGGTTGATAAAATTCCCCATCTGCTCGAAAAGTTGTTTGTCGTCGTGGGGAGTATTCGGGGTCAGGAATCTGTTGTCTTCCCACACCGCTCGTGCATTGACGAAAACTGGTGAGAGGGGTCGCTTAGCTTATACGACGATCCCCATTCCTCCCGCCAAATATGAACAGTATGCTCGTACACAGATGTGTAGTCTGCACACTAACGTCCCTACGAGGTCTCGTATTCTTTCTACCCCTCTTCTCTATTGTCAAACTTCACTG